AACAATATTTAGAATATTTAAACTCAAAGTAAATACTCAACTCAGACGGTTTGTAAAATACTTGAAGACATAAATATAATAGTTTGCAAAAGAAACTCAAGGAAAAGTAAATACTCAGAGAATCCTCAATTCTATCTATTTATGTAATCTTTATTAATTTCTCAAGATGGATCTCGGGAAAATACCACGACATCTCAAGACAAGTGACTAGAAAATAACTGTGAAGTCCCCTAAAATGCAAGTAGGCTCACCCAATCTATCTGAAGTGTAAAGTGATCCCAAAGAACCGTCTATTGATGATCCTGAACACTTGTATTTGCACCATAAAAAAATGTAGGTTGAATGACATCAGCACATTTAACATACGACCATGTAATATAGTCAAAACAAAATAACTGAATTACATGGATGTAATAGATAAAATATACTCAAGTTGAATGCAAAGAAATAAATGCGTTAAATCATTTAAAGCTTTACAAAATACTTATTCACCTTTGAACTCAATATAATAAGAGATATATAAAAATACACTTTAACCATATTAGGTGATTCATCACTATGAGTTATGTAATGATACAACGTCTTGTCCACGTTGCTTGAAATATCCTATATAATTTCGTGGTATAGAACTTTTCAACTAAGTGGATCCACTAAGCTCTCCCCGAAGGCCTAATAATTCATATAAAAAGTATGATTATGTACCCATATTTGCAAGAATTGAATGAGTACTCAAGAATAATGTTTATGCAGAAAAAGAGGCATGAACAATCAACTCAAGAATCGCAATATATATTGTGTGACAATTCAATGATTAAAAATAGGAATTTAATAATCAGCATCTCAAGAACTCAATCAACTCATCTGAAGAATACTCAAATTTAAGGATAGAACCCTATATTAGTCTTTTACTTATTTGAAATTAGATGTAGGGAATGAAAATGAACTAGTCCAACACTATGTAAACCTTGCATACTTGAATGATAAATTTATCGGCAAAATCAACGATACTCAAAGAACGCTCGAACCTTAGAATTCTTCTCTTGGAACCTTGATGACTTGAAATGTTAATGAATATAAGAGAATTGATAAACACTTTCTAAGCCCTTAATTAGGTATAAAATGTGATGTTGTTAAAGTACCAAACATATATGGGAAAGACCAAAAAGGCCCCAACTTAAAAAAAATGATAAGGTGCCTTGAAATAGAGGTTTCACAGATCGTTTAAGAATCCATGGTACGTTAAAAACTTCACTAGTATAGCTGTCCATGAAACTTTAACTATGTGACAACGCTTCACTAAAACGAGCATAACATTTTATCCCAAACTCGAAACGAGGCAAACTTGATGGTGCTGGAAAGAAAACTCAAACACATTTAATTTGATAAGTTATGTGTCAGATAATTCGTTATGGTATGATATATATAATCATTTGAAGTCAATTTAAACTTAAAAGTTAATAGTGACTTGTACAGACCTTAAAACATACTATACAAGCCACCACGGGCTATCTAGCGTCTCGTCCAAGTGAGCCCCACCTTGGAAGCCCTAAATGGATGACCATGTAGCCCTAAACGGGTCGTGGACTCCTAAACGGTCCGTATGGGAATCCATGAAGGGTCCATGGTCCATTTTGGGTTTGTGGACTTTCCGCTTAGCCCTCTTTAGGCTTTTCAAAGTTCGAAGAATTACACAAATGATTCAAATATTAAGAGTAGAGTTGCAAAGTGTTATACAATCATCAGGTCATAGCTTAGAAGCTTTATATAACACCTCAATTTTTGAAAAAAGGAGAAAATTAAATTTTGGGTTGCAGACTATCTCTATGATTTCCATATATGGACGATAGAAGCCTCTGCAAGACGTAGATGATAGTTGTATGAAGTGACAGGTCCCAATATCCTTTTTATGGTTTACTAGGATGGTCCATCATTTTATGTACGAGTCGTAGACAGGTCTTGTAGGTGACTGCCTCACTTAGTATTTTGAAGCGTAAAGTTTGTTTCTACGGTTGACATGTACAAACCGTAGGAACACCTACGAAGAAAACATGGTTTTTGTCAAAGATAAGTGATTTTTACGGTCCTAAAACTCTGTCTGCGGTTGACCAGTACATACCGTAGAAAGTTCTATGGTCCGTAGGTCTGAACCATTTGCTGAGTCACTAGTTATTTTAAGAGGGCTTCTAGGTCCTTTTCCTAATTGTTTTAATCCAATACTATGTAATTTTGTCTTCCACCCTAATCTATGTATACCATTTTAATATCTAAACTAACCTATTTTCAACTCGTTATCCTAAAGTTTCTAAACTTTACCAAATTCATCATCCTAATTCTCTCAAGTCTAAGGAAGAATAAGAATTAGGGTTCCAATCAAGTCTTCAAATTATCCATTTTATTGGGCTCAAAGGATCAATGTATGTGTGCATTCACCCATGGAGTCCTTTCTCCATGGTTCTCAAAGTGTTTCAGTTTCTCGACTCAATTTTCAATTGATCAAATTAATGTTTTATTTCAACAATTTTGAGTTCCATTAAATTATGATTAATTATGATTAATTAAGACTTCTAAGACATTTTAATGTTAATATATGATATTTAGTTGGAATTTCATCTATCCATGCTTAAATTTTTCTTTTCAACTATGATTTTATGATGAACCTTTGAACTACGAATCTCTCTTGTAAAATTGGAGACTTTAGGAACTCTATGGAGAAAATGATCCATTAGTAAATACTAACATACCTTACAAATTAACGTCCACAATTTATGGTGAATTGGAGTTTTTCTAGCCAGACCCTATCTTTCTCCTTCCTTATCTCTTGAGAGGATTTTGGGGGTGATCTTAGATGGAGTTTAGGAGAATAACTTAAAAGGGGTAGTTTATGCATTAATCATTTAAGGAAGAGACTTAAAATCCTCTTAAAGTAACTGGTCCGACCCTTCTATGGTTTGGACCTACAACCCATAGGACTTTCGATGGGTTGTACGGGTCAACCGTAGAAAAGTATAAAAAAATTTAAAAATTAGACCAACTTTGATGTGACTAGTTTACGTCCCGTATAAAATTCAACGATCTGTAGACCCTAACCGTAGAAATCAACTTAACTCTCAGAATTCACTAAGTTTGGGATTCACCCATGAGACCTATCTAGACTCATATAAGGATTGAAGGGCTATCTTGGTGAACCATAAAAGAGGTACTAAGACGTGATTTCTGAAATTAATTTTTCCTCTTCCTACGGTTTCAATCTACGACTCATATAAGCTTCTATGATTCGTAGATGGGACCTATAGAAACAACCTACACATATTACTTTTTTTCTTTCTTTTTCCAAATTTCGAGGTGTTACAATATTTTAAAGGGGGAATTCACTTAAGTTAGAGTAAGTATGTTGCTGAGCTGCTATACTAGATAGAAATGACTTTGCCAGAGGTTTTGTAGCCACTCATTTGGATCAAGATCATGGTTTACATGAAACTGTGGGAACTCTTGTAGATGACTCCTTATATAGAATGATATTAGGGAGTCTTCATTACTTGACACTCACAAGACCTAATATCACTCATGTTGTGAATTTTAACAAGCCAGGTTATGCAAAGTCAAAACACTAACATCTTCAATGAGTAAAAACGATTCTCAGATACATTAAATGTACTCTACACTTTGGACTTATAAATTATTCACAATCACATTGTAGGTTGTATGGATATTCAGATGCTGATTGAGGAGGTTGTACCACTACAAGGAAATCAACTATAAACTATAACATCTACCTAGGTGCAAAATGTATTTCTTAGAATTTCAAGAAACAAACAACAATAGATCGATCGGGTGTTGAAGTTGTGTAGAGAGCACTAGATTCAACTACAGCAGAGATGACATGAATTATGTATCTACCACATGATCTTGGGGTGTTCCTCTGATATGTTCCTACAATGTATTGTAAACTTGAGTGCCTTATACATGACAGTTAATCTAGTTATGAATATTAGAACCAGACGTGTCGAAATGGATTATCATTTTGTCCATGAGATGGTGGCCAGAGGAAGCTTCTTACTCAGTTTCTGAGGTCTAACCATCACCTAGCTGGCATTCATACCAAAACATTGTCAAAACAAGTATTTTCTATATTTCACAGCAATCTAGGAGTTACTTATATTTCCTCCTCTCACTAGTTTGAGGGGAAGTATTGAAGATGAAGGAAGCTGATGGTTGGAATATATCCAAGGAAGTTGACTGGCGTGCTCACTATTGTAGATTTTGAGTCACAGTAGGATACACTACTAAATCCTACCTTATGTACGAGTAAGTTGTTTGTATCATGTATGGGGCCAAAATCGACTAGGATAAGGTGTTTTAATTATAGTAGTAATACTACTAATGTAAATTATATATTTGTATTGTAGTAGGACTCCTAGTGTAGCTAGTATATGATTCTTCTCCTATATAAGAAACATGTACTTAACAGTTTTATTCATAAATATAATCCTTGATTTCTAAGCATACTGTCAATTCTTATCCTGTAAGTTTCCACAAAATATTTATATTGTATCTACCTCAATATTAACGTAAGATAAGATGTGTTGCTTTGTAATGGATGTAAGAACTAAATTGATGGTTGCGACATCTTTCATTTTATCTATTGAGTCTACCTGACTAAATTCGGATTGTGTACTATAGGACCTATTCGGTGTGACCCTCCCAATAGAATTTTCTCCAAACCCAGAGCTCGATAAGGGTGAAATAGTCTCACCACTGCAATACAATCCATGTTGGTAAATGAATTGAAAATAACTCAACATATTCCAAATACCAACAAAAAATCAAATATAGTTTTATATTTTGTTGTTAAAATAAATTATTTGTCATAGACAATAAATGAATGCTTTGAAATGTGAAAAGGATAGCTCAAGTTTAGGGCTGTCTCAGACCAGCACCCGACATTTGTGCTATAAAGAATCACTAAGTTATGACTAGTACAACACCCTAGCCATTTTTCAATGAGCAGCTTTGAGTCACAAACTAGGCAAGAATGTTTAAACAAAAGAATTACTACAAAATACTATGACATGATGAGCAGTAGATCATCATCATCATCATGTAATGATCCACCAGCAGTGACAGTCGTCATTGAAGGGCGTTCGATTTGCCAGATGATAAGTCTTCACAAGCTAGGTAGCTATCAAAGCCTTGCTAAAACACTTAACCAGATGTTTGTAGATAGTGGTGACATTATTGAGTGTTCATCACAAAATAATAATAATAATAATGTTGATCTATCAAATGCTCTTCCTGGTCATCTCATTGCTTATGAAGATATCGAAAATGACCTCCTCCTTGTTGGTGATCTCAGTTGGAAGTAAGTAATCTAACTATATATGTTTAGCGGCAATTAACAATCTTTGTAAATTGACATTGAATCTAATAACAATTAACTCATTCTGGTAAAGACTTTAGTACTCGATATAGATATCCATATTTATTGACCCAAAAATTTTGTTTTCATTGTAGTGCTATCATTTTACTTTCAGCTCGACATACTATTATACAAAAACTAGGTGAAAGAAAATTTGAAATGTTTTATGAAAATTTTGGTAATTTTAGAAAGTGGGGAAGCATAAAATTTATTATTTGTCTTACTTTTGCTGTTAATATACTTTTAAAAGAATGGTTCCTTGTTAATTTTGTTATTATATACTTTTATAAGAATTGTTTTTTTTTAATTCCAATTATCCTAATCACACATATTAAATTCCATTAGATTAAAATATATTTTAATAATTATACATCATTAATTTAAATGATCAAATTTAAAAATCTTACTTGCATTTAAATTCTGCATCAAATTTAAACTAGACTAACAAATTAAATAATAAGCATATATACTTTGTCAAATTAACTTTTAGAGAAGAATTTTCCATATTCAGAAATAAAACTCAATTAAATTTTATAGAAAATAGGTATATATGCATATTATGCGTTTTAATTTCGAATCATGTTATACATGAACACGATCATTAAAATACAGTATAAGTGAACTAGATAAAATGAAATCACATAGCTAAAATCTGCCATAAAATGAGTTTAGAGAAAATATGTGATATAACTAACCTACTCTTTCAATGTCATCCAGAGATTTCGTGAAGGTGGCTAAAAGGATACGAATTTTGCCGGCGAAGCCAAATTCACGCACTGGAAGAGTGGAGAGCAATATTTAATATATTTGTTTTTTTTTTCTTTTGTGTAATTTACTTAGTACAAAGTTTTGCTTATTTTGTGTAACAAATTATGAGATGCTGATTATGCCATATGAAATTATAATATTAAATAATGAGATTAAGTTCAAGTGTTATTTGAATTACTATTTAATGTTTATAGCTTAATATAAAGGATAAATAGTAATAATTATTAGTTTATTTAAAATGCCAGCTTGATTTTTATTTATATTTTTGTCTGTAATTTTATATTATGAATATTTTTTAATTTCGAGAACTTTTAATATTGCACGTTATTCCAAAACTTGTTGCTTTCACGCAAGCCTCAAATCGTCTTTCATTTTAATTTACCACTTACAAGACTTTAATACATTGCGTAAAATATACTTCACAATTATTTATGTTATTCTCGTTACAAAATGGTTTCATTCTTTTATTGTTATAAAAATGACTGATATATATATCTATGGTTACAATAGTGACTCACATATACTTATATTTTATATAATAGTAAGAAAAAAAATTATTTTTTAGATTTTTTAAATTTAAATTTTTTATGTAGGAGTATAAATCATCCTTTACACAATTTTTTTAATTTCTTTGATTATTTATTTTTTTTAATTTTTTCTTTCAATCTTTAGTTGGAAGTATGAGAAATAAGTCAAAAGAAATGTGAATGGAAAAAGTGACAAACAATTATTTTTTTGCAGCTATATTGTAATTTATTTTTGTTATCTTTAAAATAATTTGGGGCAATATGAAAATTATTAGACCAACAAAATAACAAATCCAAATTAGTTGTGGGGTCAAAGAAACAATATGTATATACGTGTGAGAAAAATCAAATATACCTTCACATAGATATATTTTTTAATAAAAAGTATAAAAAAGATAATTTTATTACTTCTATTAGAAGAAAATGATATATGTGAGTCATTTGTTAGACAGTAGGGTTATATATATAAGAGGTATATCGACTTTAAATAACAAAGTTGAGAGAGATGAAGGTAGGTCTTTCAATTCTTTCGTCTGAATTCACGTATGCTAATTCGCTAAGACCAAAAGCATCCCAATCAAACCTATACTGTTAAAACCGATTACATACCTGCATGGAGAACCACAAGTAATATGGGAGCAGGAAGAGGTTAATCAGATGATTGTCTATGAAAATCTAGAGTATACAGTAGTTGGGATGTTCTCCTTTGGTTGTCTAGAGAAAATCATTCCTAAACAATGCGAATTAAAGGGAGAGTGCAGTATCAGACTTTTGAGTAATTAACATGTTTTTATTAGGGCTACACTGTTAGAAGACTATGTTCATCTTTTATCGAAACCAAGTTTTTACATCACCAACAAGAATTGGTCTGAACATTAAAGTGAGATCCAATGCTTAACCTACGTCAATAATGATTGCCTGAATATCGTTTCCATCACTTCCACCAAATTTGTTTAGAAAAGAAGCAGTATTCTTTCTAGCAACAGCAATGGAAAAACCCTTACAAGTGGACAAGATAATCAGGAGTCAAATGATATTAAGTTGTGCAAAAGTTAAATTGCAGGTAGCTTTTGTTGGGTTTTAGCAAGTGTGAATGGGGAAAAAAAAGAGAGAATATGAAAAGTGAGAGAACTATTTTAGAGGGAAAAATGAAAAGTCATTAGCAAAATGCAAATGAAAAGTCATTTCTCCCATATTAGCAAAAGAAATGGAAATTGTTGTCCTTATAGAAGGAAACACTTCCATTACTTCTTAAAAGAGATAAGAAGAAGATGCCCCCTCGCGCCGTCGTCGTCGTCGCTCGCTCGGCTTTGGATTTGGATTTGGCAAATGATGTGATTGATAAATTTTTTGGACAAAATTCAAATAAATCTTGTTAATATTATCTCTTATAAATTTGCGGGTAACGGTAACATTCCGAAAAGTTGTTACTTTTTTAAAAATTCGTTACTTTTCAAAAAGTAGTTATTTTCCTAACAGACAAATTTTTTCGAAAAATTGTTATTTTTCCAAAAGACACATCTTTCTGGATAAAATGGGTCTGAACAGATTTCAC